TATCCGATATGTTTACTATTTTAGGTGAACTGGGAGTACCTGTCTTCACACACATTGAGTGGATAGATTGAGGGCTTTTATAGCTCACTGCGGAGGAACAAAAAATACTTATTGTGTTAAATAGCTTCCTTTTAATTTAGAGATAGATAGCTCTTCTTTGAGAATGACCAGAGGTCTATGTGTCGCTACACGGTGGTGTCAGGTGGTCGTCAGTTTTTTAACAAATGAATTATCTATATCATCTGAACTCCCAGCAGTTTTGTAGGATTTCGTATAAATAAATACGATAGACATAATATGTGTGTATTTTGCCGCTAACACGTTTTTACTTTTTAACACATGAAGACTGGATAAGGCATCCCCCCTCCCCATAATGACTAAACTGACTTTAAAAACCCATCAAAGTTAATATTCAAATTGATGGTTTCATACTAAAATTCTCGCTCTGCGTCGATATCTGCGTTCCGTCCGCCATTTTGAACGTTCTGCCTTGCTGCTGAGCTAAGGGACACTCAGAAAAACAGTCGAAAGAGCAGTTATAATGGAACTAGAAGACTCTGACATCGATCTTAAGGATTGCTACGTTGAACATATTGACGAATAGGCCCCCAATGAGGAGTAATCCGGCAATAACGATGAAAATGAACCTCCTCTTTTACGAGAAAATTGGTAATTTTCTTTATCAACGCTATCAGTGTTTAGATCTAAAAAGTTCACCAACGTAATGAATAATAAATAATTATCATGTCCGTTTTAAAGGTTTATTAACTGTTTTCTTATAATTTGTTCATTGAAACTTATCTTTTACTCGTAATTTTGTAAAATTTTTGGAGTGGAAATATTTTTAAAATAATTTTTATTGGACGTAATACAGGTTGCCAAGGAGTTGTTTACATTAGTTGATCAGTGACGCACAGCGAGTTCAGGATCTAAACATAAGCGCACTGTCATTTATTTGTTTCCCATAGTTTTATGCGTTCAGTTCTCAGTCTAAACTAATTAAAGCAATGTAGTTCAGGACTTACAAGCTGAAAATGTATGGGGGGGGGGGGGGGGG